GTCATCATGGAAATACAAGAGCAACTTACTTACGAAGTATTCAAGGCGGTACTGAGGTAGTTGAAGGAAAATTAACTATACCCGAACCTTTACCAGAAAACGCAACCCAAACTCAGAGAACAAAGTATGACAAGGAGTTGAAAGACTTCAATCAGGCAGACAATAATGCTTTACTGGTTCTTACAGTAAATATGAATCAAGAAACTCTTGCAAAAGTGATGAGGTACACTACTGCTCGTGAAGTGTGGCAAGAATTACACATGCTGTATGATGGTTATGTTGAGGACAAAACATATGACACATGCATGCAATTCTTCAGCTACACACGACACGCAGAAGATGACATTCTCTCATAATTCGAAACTCAAAAATCTTTGGAATATTCTGCAAAATGAAATCTCCAAGGATGAAGTAGTTAATGGAAACACCTGTAAATGCCATCTACCAGAATTGTTGCTGATTTGCAAGATTTTGGAGACTCTTCCTCCAGAGTATTTTTCATTCAAGTCAAGTTGGATGTTAATGTCGAAGAACGATAGAACAATTGACAGTTTAACTAACCAACTTTGTGCATACGAAAAAGCTTCATCATCCCAATCCTTGGTGAAAGAGGAAGTGATGTTCTTGGAAAATAAAAAAAATTCAAAGGAGATCACAATTTGAACCTGTTTTGTAAATATTGTAAACGAAAAGGGCATAAAATAAAGCACTGTTTCAAATGGAAAGCAGATGGAAAACCTCCAAAACCAGGAAATGGAAAACCTCCAGAACTAGGAAATGAAAAATATAAAACTAGTGATACCAATGTGACTCTCGTAGCAGAAACAAACTCCATGTTGTATTCTACGTGTGATAAAGACATTTGGTATGTTGATAATGGTGCTACGAATCACATCACCAATCAAAGTGATATGTTTGATATGATTGATGGAAATCACAGAGTCACAATAGCTAATCTAGGTCAAGATACTCTTAGAGTGAAAGCTTGTGTAAACGGAAGAAAACAGATTTTCACCATGACAAACATATGGTATGTTCCAGAAATAAACAAAAATATTTTCTCTGTTTTATCCGTGCAAGATAAAAACACGGATAGCTTATTTATTTCAACTGCTGAAAAATGTCAAAATTAATCTCTCAACTACCTATAAACATATACAATGTGGACGAAAACAAATTAACAAATGATGAAAATGGTGGTTTTTCAACATATTCGACCCTCCACCGGAACCCGCAAGGGTTGATTGCGGCTCACACCTATTCACACTTTACTAAATAAACCCAGCTTTTTAACGAAGCCGATTAGTTCTTATGGTGAGTGCTCTTTCAGGTCAGATGGTAAGAGTACGGCTCTGCCGAACTCTAAAAACCTGATTCGGTCCCCAGCGAGGCAGGCACAAAGTATGTGCTCTACTATTTCATCATTTCCCAAACAAAGGCGACACACACTGTCTTCCGACAGGCCAAGTCTCTGCATTTGATGACATTTGTGATATGAAGTCATACTCATATGAATGAATTGAGTGCTTCTTCTTTTTATGTCATCCGGATTTGGTGCTGAAGAGGCGATAAGGCAAGTGTCTTACGTCGAAACATCGGATGTCCACCAGTGAGGATGACAGTGTTCCATGTAAGTGATTTTTTTCTTCTTTCATGAATGATATCTGATTCAATTCTATCACAAATGTTCGGAATACAAACTGAATAGAGAAACGGGTTTTTTTTGTACAATTCTACGAAAGCGTTGAAGGGCCACACAAAAATATTTTTTTCGATTTGTATAATTCTGACTTTCATCTCAGAATTATGAGTTGCAAGTCGGAATTCTGACTTGAATCTCAGAATTTTGACTTGCAAGTCAGAATTCTGACTTTTATCTCAGAATTCTGACTTGTATCTCAGAATTCTGAGTTGCAAGTCAGAATTCTGACTTGTATCTCAGAATTCTGACTTGCAAGTCAGAATTCTGACTTGTATCTCAGAATTCTCACTTGTATCTCAGAATTCTGACTTGTATCTCAGAATTCTGGAAAAATGGGCATTTAAGAAAAACAAATGAACATCGTCGGAGTGCGCTCAGTGAAGAGATCAAAATAAATGTTCTTCTCTCTGTCGAAGAAAATCCCCATGTCCCCACTAGGCAGATAGCTCGGGAACTCGAAATTAGCCAGTCTTCAGTGGCAAGAGTTCTTGTAGCTGCAAAATGTCATCCATATAAAATAACAATCC